TTGCCATTTTTTTCGTATGACTTCTATTTGTCAGTTCAAGGGTAAATAAAAAATTTCATGTTAAAACCACTGCCTAGACAACAAGACGAAGAGACTGAATCAGGTATAATGTTCATGCAATTTGATTAAGTTAACATCACTAGGTATAATCATATTTTGCTTGGAACACTCCTTGTAATTGAGTGCAGCAGGAGTCACATGCCAGAACATTTGTGGAAACAAAGTTTATGAATGATTACTCGAGGAAGATGTCAAATATGCATCCACATGCAAGTTTTGTTTCACCATTCAAAAGATTACCATTATCTGGAGTTCTCTATTAACTTGAATTAAACAAGTTAGCATGTATTTATAAGATCATAAGTTACAAGCATCTGATGTTAAACAAGTTAGCATCTTATGTTCTTGATTAAATGATTGAGATTATATTCTCACATTTTAATGAATTATGTTCCTTAATTAAGGAGTTCTCGATTAAATGATGGAGACTATATTCTCATATTTCACTGAATTATGTTCCTAATTGGTATCATGCATCCTGTCCACAAACTGATGTTTTGAGTGACACAGTTGGGAATTGTTATGAATGTGTTGGTCCTTGCATTATTTGTAAATTACAAAAAAAATTATGTTGATTGATCGCAATAAACAGGTTTAATGTGATTGTCTATATCAAACGGGTATTTTCATACGAGACGAAGAAATTTCATGTGTTGTATTAAGACTTGAGAGTCTAAGATCACAAATTTGTCTTTCATTTTTGTGCTTTTCTTTCCTAATGATTCTGTTTATCTTATAGATGTGCTTGATTCATGCATTTTATATTGATTCAATGCTTAACAAAATTCTTTGCATGAAACATTATCTGTTTGCATCGTAGATGGATGATGATGGGGAGTTTTTCATTGAACAAAGTGTTGTTAACATAGTTCAGAAGGCTACACTATCTGTTTTGGTTATAATGTTTACATTCATAAGGAGAATGCAAACTAGACGTAAATCAATTTTTTCGTAGTGGCCAAGTGAGGAAAGAAGAAAACAAGAGATGGCTAGTATTAAACACATTAAGCGTATTTATAATGGTTTTAGTGATAATTGTGTAAACTATATTAGAATACAGAGTGATGCTTTTGTTAAACTAGCAAATATAATGAGGAACAATAGACTGCTAAAAGACTCAAGGAATGTAACAGTGAAAGAATAGCTTATCATGACCCTAAACATTTTGGGTCATAAATCTAAAAATCGCATTGTGAGATCTCATTTTATAAGATCAGGGGAGACAGACAGTAAATATTTCAACAAGATATTACAAGCAATTATTTATCTGTGTGGACGCTACATAAGATAGTCCCTAATGACATTCCCCAAGAGATCGTTAACAACTCGCTATACTACCCTTATTTCCAAGTATATCTACACTTTAAGCACAGTTATATGTATAATCAATAAAAATAAATGTTAACTTAGTAATTTGATACACGTATTATAGGATTGCATTGGTATGATAGATGGGACCCATGTTGATGCAATACTTCCGCTTTATCTTGTTGCACGATTTCAAGACCGCAAAGATGTTACACAGAATGTGCTTGCAGCTTGCACCCCAAACAAACTGTTCATATATATTTTAGTAGGTTGGGAGAGATCTACAAATGATTATAGAATTCTCCAAGATGCATTATCTAGACCATAACCACATGGATTGAGAGCCTATGATGGTAATTATATAAAAAATTAACTTAAAATTTTTAATTTGAATATGCAAACTTAGCTTCCTTAAAAACTTTCTTAAAAAATTATAAGCAAATACTATTTGTGTGATGCTAGGTACCCCACCATGCCAGGATTCATCTCTCCGTACTGAGGTGTTCATTAACATTTAAAAGAACATTCAGGTAAAACACCTAAGAATAGAAAGAAATTATTCAATATAAGCATTTTTCTTTGAGGTCTAAGATTGAATCTGTATTTGGCACATTGAAGAATCGTTTTAAAATTTTGTGTGCTAAGCCACATTACCCATTTCCTACACAAGTAGATATCGTATTGATATGCACGATACTTCATAATTTCATTGCCACTGTGGATCCAAGTGATGAACTACTCAACAAGTCCGACTTTAATGAAGATATTGATGGTGAGGTGACAACTGATAATGATAATAATTTAGTTGATTTTACTCAAACTCAAACTCAAAGAGAGCAAATTGAATCAACAAATGAGTCGAAGACTCTTAGGGATGATATTGTTTAGGCAATGTGGGTGGACTAATGTGATAAAAATAATCATGGTGTAACTACTAAGACTTAATTTTCATATTTGTTGTACTATTTATGCTCATGTATGTACTCTTTAACTCTATGTTTTGCTTTTTCCAGTTATTATATTTTGCTTTTCATTCATGTATTCATGTTTTACTTCTTTCAGTTATTATATTTTGCTTTTCATTCATGTATTCATGTTTTGCTTATTCGGCAAATTATATAATATCTAACTCTCTCTATTTAAATAGGGCGATTCTCAAGAGAACAAACATTTATTTTGGGATTCCTGTTATGATGATGAGCTCATTATATTTCTTGCCGAATTGGTAAGAAAGGGTTACAAACCCGACAAAAGTTTTAAGAGAACCGCTTATCATATGGCTTCCCAACATATTAACGAGAAGTTTAACACAATATTTAAGTGGGATAACGTCATGCATCGCATTAAAACTTTACATACAAGATTTCATGATATGAACATTTGTCGTAATCTTAGTGGTGTCGGATGGGATGATAGCACCAAGACTGTCATCATGGATCCTGAATGTTTAGATAGGTGGATTGAGTTAAATAAACTCTTGTTGCATTTTCATTGACTAATTATCTCATTTTCTTGTTTTTATTGAATTAATTCACCTATACTTTTCAGAACAAGAGCTTTAAGAATGCTAACCTTAGACAATATATTAATAAACCCTTGATGTGTTATAATGATCTTGCACTTATCATCGGGGATGATCAAGCTAGAGGGGAATTTGCTAGTAATGCTTGAAAAAAGTTTAGGCGTAGCAAGTCCATAAATTTTGGAGATGATGCTAATTCACCTTTGCCTACCTCTCAATCCCCTCAAGTACACATTTTAGATAACAAGGTCACTCCTCCGCCTAAGAAGCACCCGCCACATCAAATTTTAAGGCAAAGTCATGTGTTGCTAAGGAAAAGGCTTGTAGGACCAACCTAGATAATGACCTCCTGCAAAAAATAGTGGATAAGATAGAAGTATTTAGCGCAAACATAAAGTGTGTAAATATGCATTGAACTGAGAAGTTATCCACGGTCCTATATGCTCATTTACATGACTTTAGTGTTGATAAGCTAGATATATACTCTTGTCATCTCTTTTTGAATGAGCATGAATCAAGACTATTTATGGGCATATCTCAGGTTGGTCAAAAAGAGATGATTGATGTATTTCTCAACAATGAGGGTTGAAGACCAATAGAATATGGGCTCACGTAGTATTTTGTGATTCTCACTTCTAACATACTTGTTAAATCCACTTACTTTTGGTGTAAGACTAGTCTTGCTTAATTTAGGGAACTACTCTTAAGGATGTTATTTTTTGTGTTTGTGAAACATTATGATGATGGAATACATTATTGTAATATATAGTAAGTATTTATATGCATCCACATTTAGTTGTGATTCTATATTTAGCGTACAATTTCATATGAATATTTACCTTTCACCAATATCTTTATTTTTCTTACTCATATTTTTTTCCTGGTTAGAATTTGGTATGCAAACATTGTGTTTTATATATGTATATGGACTGGTACATTTACTTGGTGGTTGGATGTTGAATCTGATAATATTTATTTGGATTAATAAATTTTCTACTGGTATTGCCCATGGTTTTGAAGCGCTCATGATTTTGAAACCTAACTGGTTTTGTTTCTTGTAGTTGACTCAACTACTCAGTCTCCATTACATACATGTTTGGTATTTTCAAGTTTGATGCGATTTTCCATGTCATATACATATTTATGACTAATCAGGTTGTTTATAGGGTTTTTTTATAGGTTTCATAAGAATTTTTCGCTAATTCAGGTTCATATTTCATAAAATTATGAATAATCAGGTTATTACATGTTTCGTTTGTTTTTTTCATGTCAAACAGGTTTTGTGTGATTTTTTCATGTCAAACAGGTATATTTCATGTCAAATCAGGTACGTAGTTCATAACATTAATCATGTTATTCCAGGTTTCGTAAGATTTTTTATGTCAAATAGATATTTATAATGAATTCAGTTATTTACTATTTGTTCATGTTACATTCACACTTTTATTTTGGTAAGATTACCTCCTATAACGAACACAAATAAATTTATCTTTAGTGGGGGCAAACTTACCATGGTGACCGTATACATTTTTTCCTACACACTTCAATACCAACCAAACACAAAAAATTGAGAAAGTCTAATCAATAAAAGTTTTTCCTTTTTTTCTTACCATCCAAACATAAGAAAAGTGCATACATTGGTTTCCCACCATATTTTATATGTGAACCAAACCCAAACAATCTATTTCTTGGAAAAGTTTAAAAAACCCAAAACTTTGATTTCTTTACATGGAATTATATTTCCCAATACATGGGAAACGAACCAAACAGCCCCTAAGGGGAAAATATCACATAGCAACTATCAAAGCTTTTCTTTAAAGGCTTTACGGATATTGTTGTATGTTTGTGTGCACATGATACCTACATTTTATTTAAAAAAAAGGACATGATGCGTAAATTAAAAAAAATCTAAGAATCGAAGTGGCCTTTTGCTCCAATAAAACTGGAGTAAAAATGTAGTATCTACCTAGAATAAAACTTCCCAAAATTTAAACTATGAAAATTGGTGGCCAATTTTGTAATGAAAAGAATAATTGAAGACATAGCTCACTGATAATCTATATTATGTACAAAGACCGAAACAGGTAAAAAGAAAAGATTACATTTTTACCTTACAGAAATAATGCATCAATGTCATTCTATTAATTGCTCGAGTATCTGCAAGTTTCAAAAGGCTGTCTAGGCGGAATCCAATTGCTGAACCTGTGAAGCAAGATTAAGAGCTACTTTCTTATAAAGTTGATAAAGTAAAAATTTTCATAGAATCCAAACATGCAAGAAATTTCCCCCGTTCAAGCACTATTTTACTTCAAATAAATTTATTCTACACTAGCAACATGTGTACTTGAACCCCTATGTAAATTGTGTATATGTATTAAAAGTGATTGAAAACTGAAAAAACTAATGAGTTAAAGCTAGAATAAGAAGCTCAACTTGTCTGATCAATAAACAAATGTTTATGAATAAGCAATAATCCAGATACCTCTGGCAGTTCCTTGGTTTAATGTGTTCCCAAGAAATAGAATTTTCTTCATGATCTCCTTCAATTTAACAGAGTTCCGAATCTTGAGTCATGCAAATATAAATGTCATGCTCACATTAATCTCAAGAGAAAATTCACGCAGATGTTGCTAGGTTTACCTCAACGCATGCAGAATCTACAGTGTTTAGACTCTTCCTAAGATCTGATATCTGAGGAGGAAGGAAAGAAGCTGAATCATCAATTCAAGTAGGCTCTTTAGCTATGAAAATGAAGATTCACATACCTGTGAACGAAATTGGATCTTGAAAGCAAATACTCTCAATTTGGACTCAACTCGAGGAACTTTCATCAGCTCTAGAAAGAACTATAACATTCAAAAATAAATATGCATTAAAACATTCATGTATATTCAATTAAGATAAATCCATAAAGTTTAAATAACTGAAGATTAAAATATGGTGATCAGTGCAAACTAAAGACAATTATACATGTTACCTATGCTACCTAGGTACTTCTATCTTAAGTCGTTCCCGTACCCATACCCGTACCCATACCCAAACTCCTTGGACACTCCTTGCATACATGCATACATTTATTTGGGCATGTACTCAACTAAACAATACATGTTTTAATTTAGAACACTTGTCAAACATTCCCTGGACGTAAATCATATGCTTTACATCCACTTCCAGAAACTTGTGGTGTTCCAAACTATGATTTTAAAGGTTGATTTGGTGTCTAATTCAAAAAACAATTGTTTTTACAATTTGTAATCCACATAATAAAAGGAACAGAAAAATGTTATAGGTTAACTCATAACATGTAAATAAAAAATATTGATCTCATGTAAACTATTAACTTCAATTTATAATGTGTATAAATATTTACATAGCCATGTCCCCGTACGCTACCTTTTGCAAATTTGTCGTGTCCTGTACCGGTATTGGTAGCTGTACCCATACCCCTGTAACATAGCATGTTGTCTATGGGGGAACCAAAATTAGTAAGAATCTAAGTATCATAAAGGACAAACGAATCATCCATCTCTTTCTCTAATGGCCTTGTTAAGAGGTTTCAGGTCAAAAAATTAAAATTTTATCTCAATTTTCTTTAATTTTAACATGTATAAAGCTTTACATTTTGAAGATTAGCATAAGCATTATCATATACAAGTTTAAACATTCCATTAGATTATCTTTTGCAAGTGAATATTTGAAACTTAAAAAACAGAGAACAGAATTACTTTAACACTCAAATCTTCAATGTGTAAGGCTAACGATGAAGCAGTTGATGATCTGATGTGTAGTTGAAATCCTTATATCTTTATCAGTCACAAATCACTAAATCCCGTTTATCAATCACTCTCTTTGTTATTAACCGAAGCTCTCGCTTGAACTTTTGAAGAAAAAAGATTGGATTCAAGTTCAACTGTACATTACCCAAAAAGTCATAGACAAATAGTAAATTTACCTGCTCACACTTTCCAAGTTTTTCCTTGTCACCAGTGTACCCCTACAGCCATAACAAATAAAGCATATGAACAGAAAAAATAAGAAGAAGAAAGAAGAAACCACTAAAATGTAACGGAAAGAGATGATTGTAGTTTTACAATATACACCTTGAGCAGCTCCATTTCCTCCTTCGTTGGACAAAACTTTATAAGGTTTTCTACTTGATCAACATCTAAGATAGAATCATCCAATGCTAGAGCAGCACTCTGCAGAAACATCTAATTGTCAAATTTCCAGATCAAGAAAACATGCTTGCTTTACAGCTAAATGATTAATTTAGGCATAATAGTAACAACGAACTACAACAATTAGTAACTCTAAACTACAAAAACCTATTGTAAGCAATCAGTTAGTTTTGTTCAAGAGTATATTGACCGTTTCTGAGAACATCTGAAATGATACTGCTGACAGGAAAACTAAAAATGAAAGCTCTCAATATCTTACTGAATAAGTGTCATTTACAATATTTATATAAAAGTGACACCTATGTCATTGACATAGAAACATGTGAATCAACAAGAAGTTTGCTTGTTGACAAAACAAAAAACTATGTCTTAAAACCATCTTTAAGGTTCTAAAAGATCAAAATGACACTTAAACTTCTGATTAATTTAAAATTTCATAAAAATCCATTATCAGCTAAAATCCTAGCGTCACAATGGAAATCATAGTTTTATCTTTTCTACATTCGAAACTTTTTTGCATTGTTTCCTAACTCTGTCGCACTGAGTGGTAGGTTCACTGCATTGACACGTCAATGCCCACTTTGTGAACACTTCTATCTGCCAGTGAGTGGAGTCAATTAAATCGTTTAACAAATATAGGCAGATTAACCAACCAATTTCAATACTTTCCTAACAACTATCGATCAAGAAAAAAGATCTAACCAGAAGAACTTACTTGATAAATTAAGTACAAGTGACTAAGAAGATTAGGCACTGTTACCTAGAATGAACGTATAGGATTAAACATAGTTCACCCTAAATTCAAGGATATTTATGAACAGCCAGACCTTTTGACTTTGACCGTGATAAAGCCACATCAGCATTTCATTTCAACTTACCATCAGATCAGGAAGTGGTATCTTTACTTTTGTCAGCATGATTTCAGTGTTATTGGCCCGTCTTAGGTCAATCTACAGAAAACAAAATCAAATCAAAACATACAGTCAGATCTTGAAAAGATCAAATATGGAAAAGAAAACATGATGAAATTATGCTGATTCATCTGTGATCAAATGACAACTTCTACTTTAGATTGTAAATCTACTGTTTTTTTTTTTTTTTTTGGGGGGGGGGGGGGGGGGGGGGGGGGGGGACAACTACCAGGTGAATTTTTTCTGACTTTGAACCAAGGGATTTACGACGTCCATCAGAATTGGAGCTATCACCCGATTTCGGAACAATCGCAGAGAAGAGACTTTCAATTTCTGATACATCAAAATCTGAAGCACTGCACATATTGTAAAAAGAAACTATAAGTAGCACACGTTAAGCCATGAAAAATGATATGCAGCCATTGTTGTTAGTAAATCTTAAAGTGCTTTAAACTAGAGTAAGTACGAAGACATGGTATATTAAGTTAACGCATGCAGGAACAATAATATATTAAATAAATCTATGATGAAATAGCCTAAATGTTGATGAAGTTTATAATGATAAGTATACAGTAACCAATTTGGGGGGAATAAAGATGTAGATACCTGAGAGGATCATCAGATTTCTGGAGTTCTGCCCATAGGCTTCCCTGAACAGCTCTTGTTACTTTCACCCAGTGCAAAGGCTTCAACGATGATCGACGAGTTGCTGCAGAAAAACTAGGGCCAGGAGCACGTGCAAAACCACGACCTCTACCTGCAGCCAAGGAACCTTGTGACCCTGGCAAACCTGTTAGAGGAGGTGGAGAAGAACCTCCAGCCTTTGGTGGTGCAGGTGGGGCA